ACCTTAAATTATATTTACAAAGTAAATTTATGTGATGATATAGTTGTTTGTAAGTTGGTTTTTGAAGAATTTTAAAGGAGAAAATGTTGAAGTCACATCTATAATTTAATATGTATTTAATATTTTAAAAAATTTTAAAAAAAACAATAAGATACATTAATACTCCTAATATCACATTCTTTTTTAAAAATTTTAAAAATATCAACTAAATATAACATTATAACGTAACTTCCATTGCCCTTCCCTCTAAAAAAGCAAATGTGACAACACATCTTCACATGTAATTCAATCTTCATAATTTTAAGTCCTTAATATTTATGTGCAATTTTTTCAAAATGTAAGAAGCAAAGTATAATATTTAATAGGTAATGAAGCTATAAATACATTGGAGTTGTAATTCAGACATCAACGAATTGCAGTCCACGTATATTCGACAACGTAAAATTATGTTTTATTAATTTTAATCATTTGAATCCATGGTGTTTTCAATAAATCTAACATATTTGTTAAAATCATATTTTAAGGCTGTGTTCAATTTTGTAATTTAATGTTTACAATTTTATCTTTATGAAAAATCAAATCAATAATATTTTAAATTGTTTAAAAATTAAAATAAATTTTATCAGATTGAAAAATATCTTCCATGTTTAAGATGCACAAATTTTAAATAGTTATTAACAAAAGAATAAAAAAAATTAATATTAATAATAACACTTACTGTAATTTTATTTAAATTTAACCTTTTTTAAATTTTTGAAATATTAAATATTTTAATTAAGTGTATCATTTGGTGTATTTTTTTATACTTACAAGGTTTTAACTTAGGGTGCTTATTATATGTTTGATTTGTTTTGAAGCTTTTTTATAGATAAAAAAACATACTTTTTTAGCTAAGCCTTTTAAAGCATATAAACTACATTTTTCTAGAGAAGCCTAAAACCCTTGCTTTTATAGCTTATGTCTTAAGTAAGGTGCAAATAATATTTAGTATAATTAATTTGAATGTGCAATGCGACTTTTAACTTAAAATGTTGAATTATTTACTATTGTGATACTATTTTCAACATATAATTTTCTGTTATATACATCTCCATCGCAATGCATTAATTTTTTGTTTTTTTAATGATCTACCTACTTAGTTTTTCATTTATTGTGTGACATATCCACCCACCAGTCTACTTTAATTAAAGTCTTGTCGTTTTCCAAACAATCTTAAAAGTTAGTCCAACTTGACAGATATATTTCTAATTAAATTATTAAGTTTAATAATATCATACTTTAAATTTATTTCATGAAAGAGTGATATTAAATTTCACTTCGTTCAATTAACAGAGTAGCAAACTTCAGAGCATCCTATAGTATACATAGCATACTCAGAAAAGCAATATATTATGATAAACACAATCATGCGTGAATTGGCTGCAATCAATACCAACCAATGAGTTGAGGTGAAAGTTGTCACATGAATTGCTATTATAACTTGGCAATTAGTATAAAGATTAAAATTATGCTTTTATCAAGTTCACACAAATCCATTAAATTTAAATGAGTAAAGCACAGCAGATTCATAAATGCACGTAAAATAGTTGATAAAACAAGAAAGAATGTATTTCATTGATCAATATCTTTCTAAACAAAAAAAACAAATAATAACTACAAAGCAGACAAAGGCAGCTAAGAAACGTGCAAGAGGCAGCATTAGATGGGGAGTATACCGTATGAAGAAAATTCTAAAAACTACAACTAAGAGAAAGAGAAATTGTGTGAGAACAAGATTAAAGGCTCTATTTTGTGTTTGAGTCTGGACAATTAAAAAATTTCTCAAAAACTCCTCCATCCTTTATTTATTTAAAGGATAAATTTGAGTCCTTCAGCTTCAAAAGGGTTTAAACTTTCTCAAACAAAACAAATAATTAAACCCAAAAATTTACTACATAATATATGATTTAACTTAATAGATATAGCCCTACTTATAATATTGTGACTTATCAAATCTAGAATATACGTATGAAAATTACTTCTTACGTATTATTTATGGGTTACTTTAATTAAGGTTATTAATTTTTATTTTCTTAACATCTTCCTTCAACTTTTTACAGGAAGATTTTTGTTTTTTTTTTAATTAAACTAACGTTCAATTTTAAGTGCTTTTGTAATTAATATCAAAACTAAATTATAATGTATTTTTATTGAAGTTATACTATTTTTTTTAAGTAAACTTTAAACTTTAATTTGATAATAAATATATTTTTATTTTATACTTCTACATACATGTATGTTGTAATATTGAAACCTATTAAAATTAAATTATCATGTATTTTTATTGAAGTTATATTGAAGGACGATAGGATCTTTTCTCATATTGATGAATAAAAATATATAATAAATTTTAGAATTTTTAATCATAAAACTACGTATTATCCAAGAGTTATATATATATATATATATATATATATATATATATATATATATATATATATATATATATATATATATATATATATATATATATATATATATATATATATATATATATATATATATATATATATATATAACTAGTAATTATGAAAATAATTTATAAAACATATATTTAATGTAAAACCAACCAAATAAACGAGAAATAGAGTCATTAGATGACTATTACTTTTTAAATAAATAAATAAGAGAAAAGAGAAAAAGAAAGAAGAAGAAAAAAAAAAAGACAAAAAACAGATTTGTGAAGAAAGGAAGAATTAAAAAAAAAAGTTGAGAAAAAAAGAAGAAGAAAGAATTAAAAACAAATTTGTGAAGAAAGCATTGCAAATGACGATGTTAAGAGACAAAGGCGACTGAGAAACGAGCAGGAGGCGACATTGGGTGGGAACTAACGCGTGAGAAGAAGTTCGAATCCTCTCTGTGTTTTAAGTTAGGCCCGGCGTGAGTTATCAAACCACAAATAGCCGATCCCAAAAATAGAATAACAAAATAACTGCTATTTAATTATTTTTAGATTAATTATGTGAATAATCTATAAAACATGTATTTAATATAAAATCAAACTAATAAATGAAAGCAAAGAAAAAAAGGAATAGAGTTTTCAAATGACTATTTTAAAAATTAAAAAAAAATAAGAAAGAAAAGAAAACTATAAAAGACATAGTAAAAGAAAATTAAAAAAAATTAAAAATTTGAGAAGAAGGCAGCAATATTTATTTTATAAAAAAAAAGCGTCCAGACGAGTATGCGGACAAGCGACGAGTATGTGGGCACTCGCTTGTCCGTCTGTTCACTTTGTTCACTTTTTTAATGCTCATAAAAATATAAATAATATTTTTTGTTAAAATAAAATTTTTAAAAAATATAATATGTAGAAGTTAATAATAAAAAATGATGTGAAAGTTAAAAATAATAAGTTATGTGGAAATTAATAATATGAGATAAAAATAATTAAAAAAATAGGTCACACCAAAACAAAAAATTCTCGTATAGATAATATTTCTACATTAAAATTGGACACTTATCCCTTATTTCTGTTTTTAAATTTTGAACACAATAAACAATAAAATATTAAAATAATATTTTTAAAATATAAAAAATAATAATAATTTTTTTGTCATAACTTCATTAACCTTATACTTTATTAATCAATTTTATTTATTATTAATTATTATTTTTAATATTTAAACTTATTAACCAACTTTATAACTTCATTAACTAATTTGTTAATTTCATTAATCAACTTTTTTATTTTATTATCCAATTTTGATTTACTATTTAAAATTAATCTTAATATTTTAGCGTTCATAAACCAACTTTATCACTTAATTATTGATTTTAATATCTTCGCGTTTATAAACCAACTTCATAACTTAATTATTAATTTTAATATCTTAGCATTTATAAATCAACTTCATTCTTAATTTTGGTGTAATGTCCGTATGAACATAGCACATCTGTTATTTTAAGGATAAATACGAGTCGTTCCGTTCAGAATTGTTCAAACCTACACTGCCCAGGAAGCACTCAGCTCCCAGTACCCGCTAAACATCAAATAGCAAAACACTGGCAAATAGCGGCCACCTTCACCATATCAGAGGGTCACCGCCCCGCTATCGGTTGCTATTGATAACTCTAATTGTGACAATGTAAGATAATTTTTCTCCTAACAAACACAAATTTCTTGGCTGAACACATTTTTTGTTGTAAGAAAATTTTAGTTTCAAATTGAGCATCTTGTCACATTATACATGATAGCTGAAACAATAACTAAAGGCCCCTCTTGATATTCTTCAAAATCACACATCTTACGAGTATAGTTAATTATTTGAATGATCAGGTCATAGAATGTATAAAATTGTATATTTGTCATTATTTTGCTACTTTCATTATATTTGTTTCTGCAGCTTTACACTAGAAAGAGGGCAGTTTTTTCTCAATACACCAAAATCTCTTTATCAAATCACTCAATAATAATGTGTTAGCTGAATCCAGAGACACAATTTTGACATATCTCTGGAATGCAAACGTGTTAATTTACTATAATCTTGTATCTGCAATTGATCTAGGTTTATAGATTATTAAATAACTCAATCAATAGCCAATATTACCAAATAAAAGCATACTTGAAAATTATATATTAACAAAAATTAACCATCCATACCAAATAAAGAACAAATGCAACCATGGCAAGAATAATTAAACACAGATTAACTATGTTAAACTTAACAAAGTAAAACTGCAATTCAATAACTTTTCAGAGCATCAAGGAAACTAAATTCATTAACTGACCATTAATATGAAACACTGAATAAGCATATATAAGACAGAGATCAATCTCAGACCCAATACATAACTAAAATATGAATAAAATAAGCTGAATGAAATGAACAGAAGTAAAATAACATATTAATACTGATGATAATCCAAGTGATAATTAAATAATTACCTAATAGTAGTACATTACACCACCACATATACCCAAAAGCAAATGCATCCAAAAATGAGATAGACAAGTCGAATCAGTTCTGGCTATCAATCTTCCTTTCCCCGTCTCTCTGTTCCAACAACCTTCCAGCCTCTTCATCATTCTGCTGAGCCTTCTTCTGCGTCTCCGATGCCTTAAGTGCCTGCAACTTGGAATGATTATAATACGCAACCCCCAAAAACGCCAACCCATAACCGATCAAATTAACCGGGGTAACAGTATCCTTAATCACAGACCAAGAAAAAGCGATCAACAGCCAATCCTTAACAACCCCAGCAACATTCATAGTCAAAGCAGAAGTCTTTCCAACCAGCAAAAACACAGCAAGATTCAAAGCAAAAGCACAAAGCGAATTGGTCCCGAAAATGGCAAAATCCAAATGGAAACTAGAGTTATCCCTCAAAGAAGGATACTCAACAATGAGCCAAGGGACAGACAAAAACACCAAACAACAAGGAGCAATGTAATAAAGCGACGTAATCGGATTCAACGAAATCCCCTTAGAATTAAGCAAAATCTGAATCAAAACCAAACGAGTAGCTTCAAAAGCAACAGCCATAAGCTGCAACGTAACACCCCAAGTATCAAATTTAGCTTCACCATAAGCAGCAACAGCAACACCAAGTGAAATAGAAATCATATTAGCCATAGTTTCATTCTTAAAACCCTCTTTTTTAAACAAAACACCAATCGAATAAACAGCCACAGGCATAAGAGCTTTAAGCATTTGAATAAACGACACAGAGAGATAAATATAAGCGGAATTCGAAAACCAAAGCGAAAGCGAGTAAAGTGCACCAATCGGAACAACGGATTTCAGATACAGATCGCGCGACATCGAAACCGGTTCAACGAGCTTGAAGACACGAACGAGAAGATACGCCAGTGAGGAACAGAAAGCCATGTGAATCATGGTTAACGAGATCGGGTAGGACCAATTGTACATCTTCTTATCCAAGATGTACTTGTTGTAAACGATTACGGTGAAGCTGAGGAAGATCCATATCGCTACGTAGGTGTAGGAGAGGATCACTTTCTTGACAACGCCATCGGAGACCGCCATTTTTCTGGTCAACCCTAACCCTAATCGGAGGAAAACGACGGATCTGGAGAAATTGATCGGAATTCAGAGAAATCGAACCGGGTCGGGTTTCATGTGATTGAGGAAATCTGAAAATAAGTGGTGAAAATTGAGCTATTGAGGAATAATGGAATAATGGGAAATAGAGATGCGAATTTGTATTATTTTCAGATCTAGAGTTTCTTAGTTTGAGTGTGAGAGACTGATGTGTAGTTTTAAATTGTGACACTTGCCAAACTTAAGACTTTTTGGGCTCTTTAAATTAATGGGCTTTTTTGTTTCATACCCAACAGCTCGATTAGGAAATGCATAACAAATTCTCGTGAATAGTCAAATTTTTACAATTAAATAATAGACCTAACAAGGTAAAATAGGTTTTGGATTATATAAATATGGTATATTTTTGTTTTTAGTATGAATATTAATAGTTTTAATTTGTCGTTGATTACACTTTTTATTACCATCCATAACTTTATATTTCAATTATTAATTTCAGATTTTAATTTTGGATATCACTTTTTCTATAAAAAAAAGTTGTAAACTTAATGAGATAGAAATTTGAAGAAAAAATTTGTGTGGTACTTCCATTTTGAGCGCTTACAGTTAAGGACTTAAGGTTGTGGAATTTTTAGGTAGGAATGGATTCTCTTCCATTATCATTAAATCGCATCCATCTTTTTTTCAAATACATCAAATAAATTTGTTAAAAAATAAATGAAGAGTTAGAATTTTCACATAACTCCCATTAAAACAAATTCAGCTTTTTTTTTAATTTACTTTTTTTTTTCATCAAAAATCATTTTCACTCATTCTTCAAATTTTTCTTAAATGATTTATCTTAAAAAATAATGTTTTTGCTAAAATGAAATGCTAATCCAAGTAGTATTAGAGAATATCATATTGTCATAGATAAGAGAGAAGAAAAAAACACGGAATTTACATTTTAATTGACTTAGGCAAAATTGTGTAATTATCCTCAAAATAAATTGAAAATCCAAAAGTATCTTTGTAGGTTTCTTTTCATCTTTATTGGATTAATAACTTTGAAGATGATGAATAGTGTCATCTCTTTCTTCACTGTTTCAACAGTGGCGTTGTTACCTAACTCGTAGCGTCTGTTTATTTCTTCTTTGCACCAGGTGTAAATTGATTGAAGTCGTTTTTGTTGAGAATTAAATTTTTTGTGTAATAGTATCATTTCGATAGAGTTTGTTGTTGTCGAAATGTTTTGTTTAACACCCTAAACCTTGCACATAAAATTATCATGGAATTTGATTAAACATTATACAATCACTTAAGGTGTAACATACCACAAACGCATAACATGCTCTGTAACACGGGTTACAACAGAATAGTTTAATACACATATTTGTACTTGGGATATTTACACGACATCCAACTCATTTGATCTGTACTTGGAATGTTTACATGACATCCAACTCATATGATGTTTAAGGTATCATCTTAGCGGAATCATTATCTGATGTTTAAGGTATCATCTTAGCGGAATCATTAATAAAGAAATTAACAACAATATTACAACTCACAACATCTAGTCTTATAAACATTAACTTCATAACATAAGGAAAAAGGAGTTCATAATAGTCAACTAAAAAAACTTAGAAATCTCAACCACATAAATAGTCTTGAATTCAAATATAAACGACATAAGAATCAATTCAAGCATTTATCCCTACCTCGATGTTACATGATTTTCGATATCTTATTTTCATTCGTTTGTGTTATTTTTCATTTAGGGTTTCCAACTGATTTTGAAATTAAATTCTTAAACTTGAAGTTATTGCTAATTCGGATTAGAGTTCTTTTTCATTCTAAGATTTTAGTTCCTTTATGTATTGTTACTAGTAAGAATTTGGATTGATAAATCAATGTATTCACTTGATTGACATATTCTTATCGAAAAATTTATGAAAACCACATATGTTCATATAACTAATTGTGAGCTATTTGTTGAGACACTTATAACACAAATTCTTAAATGTTGACTTTGTTGTTCAACAATTAAAACTTATTAAGTGTGCAATTACTCAAGCCTCTAGTCACTACTTTGTTTTTGAAGAATATATAGATATGTATTACGAACATTGTTTTAATGTAATTGCTGGAGTTTTGAAGTTCATTGTTGCATGAAAAGCATAATCCACCTATATGATAATAGTGCGTGAAAAAGAGAAAAACAACAGGCACAATCGAACATTGTTTTCATTTGTGGCCACCATGACTTATCTTTCAAGTCATCGTGATCCGCGTTGCAAACTTTTTTATGTTGGAACAAAAAATGGTTAATACCATATCCTTTAGTTTTTATGATAACAAATTATTTAAAAAACAATTGAGCATTCTAACATCTGTTCAAGTTTGCAGGATTATAAGTCTAAGAACAGATAAAAAAAAAGCTTGAGGACCCTGCATCTAGAGATCAGATTTGGCTCTAAAGACTACTTCTGAAGACTTTGGCTCTGATGGCAAATCTAGACTCTAAAGAAGTCAACTCTGAAGAAAGACAGCCTCCAGTGACCCAAACTCTAAAGCTTCAGAAGAAAAAAATCAGATTCTAAAGTGATCATCCTCTGAAGAGTGAAGTTTGAAGAAAGTCAACCTATAAAGTAGATTCTCTTCAATTGAGGAAACTTTGACAAACACAAAGACTTTTTGGTCACGCAAATACTTAAGGAAAAATCTCTCCATGGGTGTTTGACAAACACATAGACTTTTTGGTCATGCAAATGCTTAAGGAAAAATCTCTCCATGGGTGTTTGAGCTTCAACGGATAATTCTTCTTGTAGAAAGGTGTTTTCTTAATATGTATAATCAAGTACAAAGTTAGTCCAACCAATTGGTGAAAGTCTTCAACATCTCTTTTCTTCCTCTCTATATAGGGAGCAGGAGGTATGAAGAAGAAAACTAATACACTACCTCACAAGTCTCTCAATCTTGACAATTCAAATAGAAGTTACTATGTCAAATTTGCTAGACTTAAAATATCTTAAAACTTGTATATTTTAGAAGTTCTTAAGTCTTAGAGTCTTTCTAAGTTGTATTTTGTCTATACCTCTGATTGTATATCAAGTGTAGTTGTTACCAAAATATCTTAACAGTTTGTTAAAGAGTCATAAGTCTCTTGCATGTGTGCTTAAGCATAAAAGTTTCTTACTTTAGGGTTTGAGAATTGTAAGTCTCTTGCTTGTGTTCTTGAGCATTGAAGTATTTTACTTGTTGGTTTGAGCATTGAAAGTCTATTTCTTTGTGCTCCAACATTTGTAATCAGTTTGGTTATAATGGAAATACCTTGGAAGTACAAGGGGACTGAACTACTCTCAAGTTGTGAGAGGAATCAGGATAACTGCTTGTGTCTTTGTTTTTACTTTCTTTGATTCTGCACTTAATATTCCATTATTGTCAACTCTGATACTATAAGTCAGAATCTAATGAGGATCTTGAGAAGTAAACCAAGTGATCTAAAGTCAGACTCTGAACTAAGTGTTCAAAATCTGATTAAGAAACTTCTGATGATAATTCTGGAGTATCTGGTTTTGGTGTGGATACTCCTAATCCTTTTGGTAATGTTAATCATGATTAGAGTACTTCTGAGAGAAATAATTATACAACTTGACCTCCAACATTCAATGGAGACTCCACTGAGTTTGAATGGTGGAAGAGCAAGATGTATACTCATATCATAGGTCTTGATGATGAGTTGTGGGATATTTTAGAAGATGGTTTTGACATTCAAGTCAATGGAGTTGGAATGGTGTCGGACAAAAAATCTCTCACACCTGCTCAGAAAAATATTTACAAAAAGCATCATAGAGATAAAGGCACCTTGGTTGATGTTTTACCTTATTTTAAGTACATCAAAATCATTGATAAGTCTACTACTCAAACCCTTTTTTAAATCCCTATGTGTTATATATGAATTGAATCAACAAGTTAAGGAAGCTAAATATAACCTTCTAGTTAACCAATATGAGCTGTTAAAAATGAAAGAGGGTGAAGATACTGAAACCATGTTTTCCAAGTTTCAAAGTCGTATGTCTAGACTTCAGGTTTTGAACAAGAGTTATACTACCTCTGATCATGTCAAAAAGATTCTTAGGAGTCTTCCTGTCATATACAGACCCAAGGTAACAGCAATCCAGGAGGCTAAAGGCTTAAACGCATTAAGTCTTAAAAGTCTTATCAATAATCTCCAGAGTCATGAGATGGATCTCAAAGGAGATGAGCCTACTAAGAATCCAAAGTCCTTTGCTTTGAAATATTTTGCAAAATCTGTAAATGCTTCTAAAATTTGGAACTCTGGAAAAGCTTCTCAATCAGAAGGTTCTAAAGGAGACTCGACTGATGAGTAAATTTCTTTATCATTACAAGTGTTGCGGTGAGAATAGGATATCAAATTATTAATTAATTTGAATCACAAATCTTAGATTCACAGCCGGTCTTTGATTTATCCGAAGGAAGGGTTAAAGAAAGGAAAAACCTATTTTGCATCGTAAACATAATGCAGGGAAAGATCTAGGGTTCAGGGGTTGGTTAAGCTTAGGGAAGGTATTAGCATCCTAAACTTCTGTAGTACTCTACAGGAACTTCTTGTTTAAAATGTGTTATTGCTAATGGTTATCTGCTTAAGGGTAATGCTAATGGTTAAAGGGGAAAGAGAATGGACCTAAGGGGTTAGTCCTAAGTATACTCGCCAAGATTCACATCTTGTGCCTACGTATCCGAGGTAGGGGATGGAATCAGAGTAATCGTAGTTCCCCTCACAGAGGGAGGAAGAGGAACTTCTTGACTGTGGTCAAGGTTCCAGGGGGGAACAAACGTTCATATGGAAGTGTTTACTTGGAGTGCGGCGACTCCTAATTCTATGTTGTAGAGTTGAATGGAAAGGGTGGAGAGTAAGTATTCCACGGCAGGTACTTACATGGAGTGCGGCGACTCCTGATCCCAAGGCTAGGATGAAAGGG